CCTCCCAGCTGGTGTGTGTGTGTGTGTGTGTGTGTGTGTGTGTGTGTGTGAGTGAGATAGACAAAGGGCTCTGCGCTGCCTGTAGAACAATGATGTCACAAAGCCAAAGCAGACTCACGGAGGCATTTCTGTAATATGTAAAATGACAACAGCAATAATAATAGCGTTAAAACTGAATGCTGTGCTTGATAGTTTGATTAGAAACTGACTGTGGGACAGATTTTTTTAACCTCTATGATCCAGATGTTTTACTTAATTACAAATCCTAATGATGTTTGAAGTGTGTATATGTGACTAAAATCATTTCTAGAGACGTAACCAGACCCAGACAGAATCAACAAACATTTTTTTCAGATTTTCTGTAGATAAAAGACTGGAATTTTGCAGTATGGATTTTAAAAATCAGAATTCTGAATTGCTGAAAGCGTGATCAAATTAGCCAAAATATTTAATAAATGAAGTGTTTGGGGATGTGTAGAACTTGTTTGAAATGTGCAGAAATCTTTGTGTGGGCCTGGAAATAACCCTGTATTTTTTTTACATTTATCACCCCATTGTGGACATCATGATCTTTTTGTTGCCTTTAGGAGCGGTGCTAATAATTGCGCCACTGAATTGCACCAAATGCCAAATTCAATGTGATTTGCAAACGTGTTAAAATAGATGGAAAATTAAATCGTTTTTGTTTGTTTTCAGAGTAAATCATTAAAGATCTTTCTGCAACATATATTTGTTTCTATAGCTTCTTCATAAGAAACGAAACAAGAAGTGTATGAAGAAAACAACAACAAAACTGTTGAAGATTTATTGATAATGGCAATATAACATTGTTCAACTGCCCGGGGTGGTCTGACAAAATTCCATTTTGTTGGATCAAAGCTAATTCGGTGTTGTTGACTGGCCTCTAAGGCAAAGGAGCTCTCTGCATCCATCCTTGGGATGCTCAGTTGCTTGGATACTGTTGCCACAGCAGTCATGGACATCAGCCAGAGGGCTTGTCTGGCCTGGTCATAAAGCTGTGAAAGTTGTGGTTTTCCAAATGCGCTCTGAGGAGCGCTGTGATTGGCTAAGCAAGGTCCAGTTCTATGGTGAGTCTGGGAAGTGCAGTCTGGAGTCTGTCCACAGTCTGATCTTTATCTTTTACACCAGGCAGATCACTGAGAAGCAGCCACTCCAGTTTCCTAATACACACACACACTTATGGTTTCAATAGCAGAAGCCACTGATTTTACTCTAGTGACAAACCAATATATCAGCCAGGGCTGCGCTTCTCAAAAGTAGATCATTAAAACCTTTGGCAGCAGTGGTCTCTATGATCAACTTAGAGTAAAAAAAAATTTTTCTTCACTGGAACAGATTTGGAGAAATTTAGCATTACATCACTTGCTCACCAATGGATCCTCTGTAGTGAATGGGGGCCGTCAGCAGTCCAAATAACTGATAAAAAACATCACAATACATGCAGATTTTTGCTTCACAAGATTTATTTACAGACAATTTGTTAATTGCTGGATTATTGTGATGTTTTTATCAGCTGTTTTGGACTCTCATTCTGACGGCACCCATACACTGCAGAGGATCCTTTGGTGAGCAAGCGATGAAATGCTACATTTCTACAAATCTGTTCTGATTTAGAAAAACTCAACTACATCTTGGATGGCCTGAAGGTGAGTACTTTTTCAGGAAATTTTCATTTTTGGATTAACTATTCCTTTAAGCTCACACTGCTTCTGGGAAAAGCAACCCTGGCTGATTCACCAATATTTGGTCATTTGAGATGATCAACATCATCCAATTACCATGCCCATGTGGCATACACACAAAATTATGGGCAATAATGAGAGCTAAACTGAAATAAAAGATGCTGTTGTCATACCTGAGGTGATGAAGAGTGATGATTCCTTTATCTGTCACGTTGCCACAGGAAACCATCGTCATGTTCTTTAAACTGTCCTGCAGTGTCTTTATTTGACTCAAACGCTCCAGACAGGTGTCTTCTATATAAATACACTTATTGAACCTGATTTCCTCTACATGCTCAAGACCCTCTAAACACAAAAACAAAGGTGTGTTAGTACCAACAATTCTTTAGATGCCTTTGGTAAATAATAATATAATCCAAGTGGTCAGCAACCTTTCTTAACCTTTTTTGAAAAAATTAAAATTATATATATATATATATATATATATATATATATGTGTGTGTGTGTGTGTGTGTGTGTGTGTAAAAATACATTTGAGGTCAGTATATTTTCATTTATTAAGCAGGGATGCATGCATTAAATTCATCAGTTGTGCTGATTAATATTTTTGTGGAAACTGATACTTTTTTTTTAGCACTTTCAATCAGTTATTTTATGTAGCAGAATTTCATACATATTAAATTAAATTATAATTACATATTAAATTACATTAAGTGTCAATGCCATTGTGTTTTACTGAATATTTTGATTTATTATCATTGCTGTCTTCTGCATCCACAGAAATCCTGAATACAATGCAAAATTGCCAAGCTCTGATATAATCAGTTGGTCAGCATATTACTAGGTGAAACAAGCAAGTTATGGTTTGGCTGGTGTTGTCATATTGAGTACAGTAAGAGTAGAAATGTAAACTGTAGTGTACTGTATAGTAAAACTGGATTTGTGAAAAGACTATGTGAGTGAAAAAGAAAGAGGACTGCACTGTATCTGTCTGTGTAAAACACCCCTTAGCTTTACGTCACTTTTTCCCCACAACTGAACCTCTCATCCTCACCTGTGACACACAGACAGTGTCTCAGTGTCACACACACATGGTAGCGTCCTCACAAACTTTCCCTCTCTGGGGTCTAATTTAATAAATAATGCAAGACTGTTTTGCTGAAGCAAATGGAGTAAGAGATCTTAGAGTTGAAGCAGGTGCTTGACCTTCTCCATTCACTGATGATTTCATTAAATTTGTATAGGTAATGTCACAATGCTAAAGGTTAAAAGATAATTCTGCTACATAAAGGTAACAGGGTCAGGGCAGTGAGAAGAGTGTTTATGAGTTTAATCGATCACTTACCCAGATGATCAAAACCACGATACATGATGCAGGACTCTGTGGCATCAATAGCTTCTATCCGGTAGCGGCCCAGCGGCCCAGTCGGGAGTCCGTTGTAGTCGTGCTGCCAGCGGTCGAAACCACGGAACCGGACTTTTGCACCACATCTCAGGAGCCATTCGGCAGCGGCTCGATCAGGACCCACTGCTTTAATACGCTCATAATCAACTCTATATTGATCAAAGAACACAACAATTACGGATCACTGCATCTGGAAAGCTGACGTGACATTTCAAGCAGTGACATGCCATCTAAAACCAGTGACAGACCAATTAATCATCTGCTTTTTAGCCATTTTTGATGGATTGTGCACATTTTCAGTTTTGAATAAACTACCGTTCAAACGTTTGGGGTCGATACATTTTTTTAAATGTTTTTTTAAGAAGTCTTTTATGCTCACCAATGCTGCATTTATTTGATCAAAGATACAGGAAAAACAGTAATATTGTGAAATATTATTACAGTTTAAGATTAACTCTTCTATTTTAATATATTTCAAAATGTAATCGTTTTCCTGTGACCTGAATACATTTCAGCAGCCATTACTCCAGTCTTTAGTGTGACATGATCCTTCAGAAATCATTCTAATATGATGATTTACTGCTCAAGAAACAATTCTTATTATTATCAATGTTGAATACAGGTGTGCTGCTTAATGTTTGTTGAAAATGAAACATTTTTGTCAGGATTATTCGAAGAATAAAAAAGGTAAAATCAACAGCATTTATTCGAAATTGAAAACTATTTATAACATTATAAATTAACATTATAACATTACATAACATGACAACATTATAAATATGTAATTTTTGATCAACTTAATACCAGTATTTTTTTTTTTAAATAAACATAAATAAAATCTCACTTTTGAACTTTTTGCACTGTATATCTTATTTTTTTGTGACTGAACTGTACTAAATATATATTTCAATATTATAGCAGCCAGGAGCAACACAGATTTTTGGCGTGTTGAAAGACACATTTGTTGACCACTATTAACTATTTTGTACAGCATTGTTCTACATGGAACTTTTAAAATAAATTTGCCACACTTCAGGACTGTTCAAGTGAACTGCAGAAACTAAAAAGAAATGATGCACATAAAACATTCACTAGATGCTATTATGTTATCAAGTTGGTGTTGAGTTCAGACTCTAAATAAGAGCTGTTGTTGTGAATTAGCAGGCTTAGATTAGTCTCCATAGGGATTCCTCACTCTATGGATTAGTCATTCTAGGGACTAATTACTCTAGACATTGATTAGTCCCTTTATAGATATTTATGGCTCTCACACTCAACATTGTGTTTGTTGTGATTGGCCTCAGGTGCTTTACAGTCTGCTGTGGGTTGGGAAAGGAAATAAATTATGACATTAGAAAAATATTAAACTAGTTACATAACTGTTGTTTTAAAAAATATCCAAAAATTACTTGTTGAAAACAGCATTGAGCCACCCCCAGAACTCACGACTGCCCCCTGACGCCTGCTTGTGTGCGGATAAAATCCTCCGCGCTGACCAGGTGAACAATCTCATGTCTATGGATGAAATATGGAGAGATAAAGAGATGAGATATCAAAGTATGAAGACGCACTGTTCAATTACACTTTCTAACAGCAGATCGAGCAGAATGATCTGTGTACGCTGATGGTCGTGTCATTGAATATGGAGGACAACGTATTCACTTATCAAACATCTAAATGTAGTAAAGCTACCAGACAATCGGTTCATACCATATACAGAACTGTTACAATCAAATAATGTAAATCCTACAAAACTGACCCTTCGGTTCAGGTCGTTGCTGTTCTGTATATGCGCGGAGTGTCTGTTATTTACATCCTCTGTCCTCCATGCGCCCTCGCTGATCTTTCACCTGTTACGTCATCACGTCTCGCGCTCCCATTGGTCAGTGAGTGTGCGTCAGGGGCGGGGTTACAAAGGAAAGAATCAGCGTCCTAACAGAGAGAAGATTCCTTTACTCGAGAATAAACCGTACCGGGTCACTAGCACTATGATTACACGGTTATAATAAGTCTGTTAGGAAAAGTGAAAACGTAATTTGTGGAATAATGATACGAACTTTCGGTACCGGATCTGTGTGCGCACGCTTATTGACACGGGGATCAAAGTATGCAACGTGCAGAGCTGCACACCACAGCGGGTGAGAATAACAACAGCACTACAGAGTCATTGAAACACTAGTACAGAGTACTCACAGTGACACAAAGTGTTCTGACTGTAGTGCTCCACTATTAAAATGACCTCGGCTGTAGTATGACTTAGTATTATTATTGTTATTGCAGAGTGATACTGTAGTCAGAATGCATTCAATGACATCAGTTAAGGATGCACCGATATTAAAGTAAAAAGTTACCAAAAATGAACATTCTGTCACTATTTATTCACCCCCATGTCGTTCCAAACTTGTATTACCCTCTTTCTTGTGTGGAACGTAAAAGAAGATATTTTGAAGAATGTTGGTAACCAACAGCTTTGGTTACCATTGGCGTCCATTGTATGGAGAAAAAAGGCAGAGATATTTCACAAAATGTTCGGGCTGTTCCATAGATGAAGGAAAGTCAAAAAGGTTGAAGCTGTTCACTTCTTTAAAGTTACGGACAATAACTGGTAAATGGCTGATATTATTATTTTTTGTCTAAATAAATTAAAAATAAAACACTACAAACTAAAATCAGACATCTTAAATGTTACAAATGAATTTAGGCATCACAGCATTATAATAAATTATATGAAAAAATAGATATTTATCATGCAGTTTTCTTTTCTTTTTTTACAGTAATATTAAAGGGGTCATATGATGCGATTTCAAGTTTTCCTTTCTCTTTGGAGTGTTACAAGCTGTTCGTGAATAGATAAGATCCCTAAAGTTGCAAAGACTAAAGTCTCAAACCCAAAGAGATATTCTTTATAAAAGTTAAGACTCGTCCACGCCCTCCTAAAACGCCTCGTTTAAACACGCCCCCACATGTCTATGTCACTGTGTGGGAAGATTTGCATAACACCGCCCAAATGTTCACGCAAAGAAAGAAGGCGTAACTTTAATTCTCGCTGTAGTATTGTTGCCGCCGCCATGTCGTGAAGACGCTGTGTATTTCGTTGTGAAAGCGAAACTACTTTGTTTGGCCTTCCAAAAGAGGACACAACTAGACATCAGTGGTTAAGTTGTATTTACAACACTGTTCCGGAACAGTCCAAACCAAATATTCAGATGTGTGCAATGCATTTTACGGAGGACGAGGACTGTTTCCTGATCCTGGGAGAGTAGCCTCCAGTGTTCTGACAAATAATGCTGACCCACAGCCTGTAAGTACATTTTTGTAAGTACGTTTTCATATTCAAAGGATTTGCCACTGACTATTCAAACGCGAGTTTTGAGAAGTGTAGAGCAGTGCTAGTTGTTTGTCATTTCTCTGATCACAAATGCAGACATGGTTTTATGTTTACGTGGCGCGATGCAACGCAACGCGTAAAAAGACAGTATAAGTCATTATAATCAGTAATTATGTCCCCACTGGATGCTACAAATGCCTCGATTGTAATGGGTTTTATTGGTTTTGTCTCTTTATTGTTTTTTTCCGTCACACGCTTGAGGTATTCGGCCAATCACAACGCACTAGATAGCTGGCCAAAAGGGTAATCAAAATGTATAAATAGAAAAGATGATCATGCACAGTTAAATATACAATATCGGATTACTAATATTATCCCATTATATTGTGTAGCTCATTTGATGTTGCTGTTATTGGTGGAGGGATTGTTGGACTGGCCTCTGCCAGAGAGCTGATCCTCAGGCACCCAAACCTCACCTTTACTCTGCTGGAGAAAGAAAAGGAGCTTTGTAAGTGCGTGTTTGTTCTAGATACTTCTTCATATCTGCCCTGATTTCATATTCATTTATTTTGTGTATTCCTTCCCGCAGCTCTCCATCAGACAGGTCATAACAGTGGTGTGATCCACTCTGGGATATACTACACACCAGGCTCTCTGAAGGCCCAGCTTTGTGTTCGGGGAGCCATGCTAACATATCAGTACTGCCAGAAGAAAGGTGTGCCTTATAAGAAATGTGGCAAGGTGAGAATGAGCATAGGCCCCCATAAAACCACAGATACCAAAGAGATTTGTTCCTGTAGTATCCAGTGTGTGTGTGTGACTTCAGCTTATCGTAGCAGTGGAGAGAGAGGAGATCCCCCGTCTGAAAGCTCTATATCAACGCGGTCAGGTGAACAATGTACAAGATCTCCGTCTGATTGACGCCAAGGCCATCCGAGAGAAAGAGCCGTACTGCAGGGTGAGTGACACGTGTTTGTGTGTTAATGAAAGATAGGGATCATAATCCATTGGTTTGATCAATAACCAGCAGATTGCTAAAGTGCTGTCATCAGGCTGTCATTTACCTGATTCAGGTGACCTTAGGCCTGCTGTTTCAAACACTGAAATATTAACTAATTTATGACTATCATATATGCATTTATATTTTGTATAAGCTCAGTGGTTACGATGGTCTATGTTGAAGCTGGCCCTCACATACACTACCATTCGAAAGTTTGGGGTTGGAAAGATTTTTTGATGTTTTTGAAAGAAGACGACGTCAAATTGCAGCATTTATTTTATTGAAATACAGGAAAAATTGTAATATTGTGAAATATTTTTACAATTTAAACCAGCAGTTTTCTATTTTAATATATTTTAAAAATGTAATTTATTCCTGTGATTGCGAAGCTGAATTTTCAGCAGTCATTCAGTACTCCAGTCTTCTTCAGTGTTACATGATCCTTCAGAAGTCATTCTAATATGATGATTTGGTGCTCAAGAAACATTTCTTATTATCATAAATATTGAAAACACTTCAAAAGTTCAAAAGAACAGCATTTATTTGAAATATAAACTTTTTGCAACATAAGAAATGTCACTTCTGTTCAGTTTATTGCATCCTTGCTTAATATGTCCTTACTTAAAAGTATTGTTCCTTTTTAATACTTTATTTATTGGCATTTATAACAAAATATATAAAAAATTGCAGCAAAAAGGAACATTAAAATAACAATCCCACATTACTTTAAAAATATTTTTTAAATCCCATTTAGACAGAGACCATCCAAATGTCAAGAAATGTAACTAATCACTGTTTGTTTTGTTTATAGATAATATTTTTAAATATATATAATACTACAATAACACACTATAGTGTGACTTTTAGTCATTAGAATTTCTGTTTGTCCAAGATGAATAAAAACAAATAGTTTCACAGATTATATTAGCAAATAAAGCAGAATTTCAGTTGTTTCCCTTAAAGCCCCGGAAGTTGCATACTTCCAGCCAATCAGATCTGCTGGAAACGGCTGATTTCAGCCAACCTGTGCCATTTTTGTGTAGAATATGGATCAGTCAGTCAGAGAATGGACTGTACATGAAATAACGTATGGTATTTTTTTGTTTATACACAGGGCATCATGGCATTAGACTCTCCAAACACAGGGATTGTTGACTGGCAGTTAGTAGCTCTGACCTACGGTAAGGACTTCCAGGAAGCAGGTGGCACTGTGATAACTGACTTTGAAGCATCTGACATTAAGGTGGCGGCAGAAAGCGCAGCTGGGAGTGCTGAAGGTGAGTCACGTGACTAGCTCAATGTCTCAGACCTTCTTTTTTTTCCGTTAATATTACTGTGTTCATCCCTTTATGTCTGTTTAGGTCTGAAATATCCCATTATCATCAAAAGCTCACAGGTGAGAAACTGATTTGTGTGAATGGTGTTTTTATGATCTTTTGGGTTGGTGTCTTTCTTAGTATGGCTGTGTTTGTGTGCAGGGGAAGGAGGTGAGGTGTCGGTTTGTGTTGACGTGTGGAGGCCTTTACTCTGATCGGCTGTCTGAGATATCTGGCTGTAGTTCAGAGCCCCGTATCGTTCCCTTCAGAGGAGATTACCTGGTGCTTAAGCCAGAGAAAAACTACCTGATCAGGGGCAACATCTACCCTGTGAGTAGAAACACCCCACACAAACACATAATACACAGATATATGAGAACGTGTGTTTAAGGACTCTGTTTGTGTGCTGAGGTGCCAAACCCACGGTTCCCGTTTCTTGGATTCCATTTCACTCCTCGTATGGACGGTAGCGTCTGGCTTGGCCCAAACGCTGTGTTGGCTTTTAAACGAGAGGGGTATAAACTCTTTGACTTCGACACACAAGACTTCATTAATGCGGTCTCCTACAGGTACAGTGAAATACACTTTTGCATATAGAACGTCAAAAGTTTGGGGTCAGTAATATATTTTTTAAAGAAATTATCAATTTAAATTGATCAGAAGCGACAGTAAAAACATTTACAAAAGATTTCAATGTCAAAGAAATGCTGTTCTTTTGAACTTTCTATTCATCAATGAATTAAAAACAAAAATATTAAGCTGCAGCTGTTTTCAACATTGCTTATAATAATACTAAAATTAAAAGCATTAGATCAGGATATTAGACTGATTTTTGAAAGATAATGTGACACTGAAGACTGGAGTAATGATGCTGAAAATTTAGCTTTGCCATCACAGGAATACACTGTGATTTCTACACCATCTGAAAACTAGAATAAATAAACTTTCCATTGATGTACGGTTTGTTAGGAAAGGACAATATTTGGCCAAGATACAACTATTTGAAAATCTGGAATCTGAGGGTGCAAAAAAAAAAGTTGTCCAAATTAAGTTCTTAGCAATGCACATTACTAATCAAAAATTTTGTTTTGATATACTTAGGTAGAAAATGTACAAAATATCTTCATGGAACATGATCTTTACTTAATATCCTAATGATTTTTGGCATTAAAAAAAAATCTATAATTTTGACCCATACAATGTATTGTTGGCTATTGTTGCAAATATACCCGTGCTACTTATGACTGGTTATGTGGTCCAGGGTCACAATTACATTTTAAAATATATTAAATATATATATATATATATGTATATGTGTGTGTTTTTGTGCTTAAAATTTCTACATATAATATTTTAGACCTTGACATAACTATAAAAATATGTGCTCTTTATAGAAAGGCCCGTTAATATTTTTTATCTTTATATTATTGTAACATTTTATTATATTTTAATATTTTATTAATTTACATTTCTCTTTAATGTTTTGTTCATTTACATAACTTTTCCAGGTCTTGAAATCACACCTGGTTGTTCAGAGACGTTGAGATTGTACAGTTGTTGAGGAGGTGAAATATCTTGATTTTTGTAAATATTTTTTTTTAGTTTATTTTAATGCTTGTCATATTTAAAATGTGATGCTGGACCACAAAACCAGTCTTAAGTCGCTGGGGTATATTTGTAGCAATAGCCAATTGTACATTGTATGGGTCAAAATTATCGATTTTTCTTTTATGCCAAAAATCATTAGGATATTAAGTATAGATCATGTTCCATGAAGATATTTCGTAAATTTCCTATTGTAAATATATCAAAACATAATTTTTGATTAGTAATATGCATTGCTAAGAACTTTTGGCATTAAAAAAAAATCTATAATTTTGACCCATACAATGTATTGTTGGCTATTGTTGCAAATATACCCGTGCTACTTATGACTGGTTATGTGGTCCAGGGTCACAATTACATTTTAAAATATATTAAAATAGAAATCAGTTATTTTAAATTGTAATACTATTTCACAATATTACTATTTTTACTGTATTTTTGCTCAAGTAAATGCATGAGCATAAGATACTTAAAATAAAATAAAATAAAATAAAATAACAATAAAAAAATATTACCCACCCCAAACATTTCAACAGTAGTGTACACTCATATTGACACATTCTCATACATAGAGTGCACTTAAAGGAATATTCAAGGTTCAGTTTAGCTCAATTAACAACACTTGTGACATAATGTTGATTACTATCAAAATGAATTGCACCCAGTTTTCTAGGTGAATTATCTGTTACAGTGAGACACTAATGATGGACATGGACTTACTGAACCCAGAATATTTCTTTAAATACATAGGTTTGTTCATACTAGACAGCTCATGGAATTAAAAACAAGGCCCCTTCCTCATGTGTGTGTATGTAGGGGTCTGCAGAAGCTGGTAATGAAGAATATTGTGTATGGAATGGGAGAAATATATAGAGGTGTGTTTACCAGTGCTCAGGTAAAGAACCTGCAGAAGTTCATACCTGAACTGAGCCCCAGTGATGTCCTCAGGTACAGACACACAAACACTCTATTGAGAAAGATTATAAAAGTCATACATATTCTCATTTATTATCACAGTTGTCCTGCTTGTAAAAGTTTGAGCATGTTGGTTTGTGCAGGGGGCCGTCTGGTGTGCGTGCACAGGCTTTGGATGCTGAAGGAAACCTGGTGGATGATTTTGTGTTTGACGGTGGGAAGGGAGAGCTGGGCAGCCGGATTCTGCATGTACGCAATGCCCCGTCACCCGCTGCGAGCTCCTCCCTGGCCATCGCTGAGATGATCGCTGATGAACTGGAGAAAAGATTTCAACTGTAGACATACCTCAGATGACGCTGCCATAACCTTGATTACACTCTCACTCTTATACTTCAATTCAGAGGATAAAAGAATAATTATAGAAGAAGTTTTACTTTTATACTAGTGCGGAACAGTAATGATGTAAAGAGATTTCTGGTGCTCTTTTCTAATGCATCTTCTGAAAATGATGCAGATTTTAGGAAATGTTGGGTAACTCTTGTTATATCTTTGTAAATCTGATGATTTGTGAGGAAAAAGTCTTAAAAGTAACTGCCTTAAAATAATGTACAAATGTAGTTGCCTCTTAAGAGAATGCATTCACTCCATATCTGAATGACAAATTCTTTTAGTTGATGGGTCTTCAAATTATATCTGACCTCTAATGTCTGAAGGAAGTTATTTAAAAACAGCTCTTCTGATTTGTTCATTGTAGAACCATTGTCTATAACAATATTTGAAGGTCTGATTCTCCTTGTATTTGTAAATTAAATTTCCAGGATTCCAGAAGTTATAGAAGCTGAATGTTCTTTAGGGATCCTATTGTCTTTAACCAATGAATGTACATTATTTTTACAGTTGTATTTTTGATTAGTAATATGCATTGCTAAGAACTTAATTTGGACAGCTTTAAAGGCGATTTTCTCAATATTTAGATTTTTTTGCTCCCTCAGATTCCAGATTTTCAAATAGTTGTATCTCGGCCAAATATTATCCTATCCTAACTAACCATAAATCAATGGAAACCCTATATATTCAGCTTTCAGATAATATCTAAATCTCAATTTCAAAAAAATCTAAATAAATCTTAAGGCCCCTTTGGAGGTTTCCTGGTTGAGAACCCCCTTTCTAGAACATAATTTGCTCAAGTTTACCCATAATAAAAAGTGTTTACATGATTTTACGTGACCATTCCGCTCTTGACCACACGATGGTAGTGGGTTGCTGGAAATGTCGGGGCTTTCTAGATTTATAGTAACTGAAATAATCGTGAAAAATAATATTTGGAAGTACAAATGGCAAGGCGCTACGGTCTATTTAAACTTCTATTTAAACTTATTTAAGATTAATCAGTGCCGTTTACTGAAAGTCAAATACAATAGTTTAATTGTTTAAATACTTTTGGAATATACGCTTGAGTGTATGTGTGTTTATTGTTGCCAAAATAAGACGTCGCATGTATGTGCTATGTTGCTGCACTCATTCGCTGGTTCCCTCCCTCCGGCCTGCGCAGATGCGGGAAGCGCGCGCAGTGAGCACTGAGCAGCTGTGATTACACCGTCATGGACACGAGTGCACCACATCGGAGTTGAATCGGGACGTTGCCAACAACAAAAACAAAGACATTACACACCGAATTTTCGTCGGATTACAGCGGATTCAGGCGTCGCTTTTGTGACTGGAATATGTCCAGCAGACGAACTCCAACAACATGACAGTGTCGCGCTGGAGAAACTCCTGCTCCCGCGCTTCATGAAGAGTCTCGAGGCCGCAGAGCCGCCGCGCTGCTCCGCCAGATGTGCTGCCGTTAACCGCATGCACAACACCGCCAGACGAACACCAGCCTGACGACACTCAACGCTTGCTTTTAACATTTCCCCCTCTGTAAAAGACATGACATCGGCTGTCCTGTTTGGGCGAACTGCCCGACTAGCATGTGCGGCTAATTTCGGTGTAACGTTATGTTAGCGGCTAATTAACGCACGACGACCGCGACACTCCAACGGCTGTCAGGACAGAGACCCAGACACTTTTACACTCTTTAAAACTACTTAATTTGATTTACAAACAGTTTTTCCCCACAGAATGAGGTGTTTCACGTGTCGGAAAGCCTTGCTGGCCCGTAAATGTGGTAGAGTTTGAGTTTGTTTTGAGTGTGCGTGCGCGCCGTGAGAGCGGCTAAACCTGGGTGGTTGTTCCCGGAGTTGGGAGCGCTCGGGGCCGATGCGGAGCAGCGCGGGCGGCGGCCGCAGGCATGCAGCACGACTTCGGCTCCAGCGAGGAGAACAGCGCGAGATGGCGAGGCCTGTTCGTGCAGGCGCTGCGAAAGGTACTGACCCTGTTCGGTCCGCCATTCACACTTCTCGTTATGTTTATATTGAATCTCAAGCGTAATGAGTGAGTTTTAAAAACTATCTCTGCAGAACTGAAATCTAGAGTTCTCTCGTATGATGATTTGCACAGCTGTGCGTAGTGTCTGCTTTGAGGTGTTCCTGAAGGATGCGGCTGTGCAAGATGCAAATAATGTTTCTTGAATTATATCATGGCCTAAACGCCATACAAGCACGGTTTCATAGTTGACACTTTGACACGACATGTCCTGTCTAGTGTCTAGTCTGGAGAGTTCAGTTGGTTGGTTTTTACTTTTTGATGAGCTTTACCTTTGACCAATGAGTCCAATGTTTAACTATCATGCAATGTTAACTTAGTCCTTTAAAAAAAAAAAAAAATTACACTATGTGTGTATGTATGTATGTGTGTGTATATATATATATATATATATATATGTATGTATATGTGTGCATACACACTAATTTATTTTTTTTGTTGTTTTATTTAAGATTGAGGGATTGCAGGGATTCCCTACCAGAATAAATGAAAAATGTATTCCAGATCTCCCTTCTGTTTTGTTCTTCTCACTACTGCAAGCAAAATATCTCAGTACCATCAGGGGACCGTGGGAGCAGATGGTGTGTGTGAATGTTTTTGGTTGTGAGAGAAAGAAAGATTTAGGCTGCATCTGATCTGATGCTGAAAATGATTTTTGCTTCCAACCAAACAATCCCTTAGAAATAAACGTGAAGTGAGTGACACACTGAAACTGAGGCAAATAAAGAACTTGAATTATAAACAACATATTCACAGATCATTACTTGAAGGGAAAGTTCAACAAAAAAATGAAAATTAATTTACTCAGTAATTTACTCACCCACATGTCATTCCAAACCTGTATGCCTTTCTTCTGTGAAGCATAAAATAAGATACTTTGAGAAATCTCTGTCTGGTTATTTTACAATGGAAGTCAATAGTAACCAAAACTGGTTACCAACATTCTTCCAAATAATGTGTTCTGCAGAAGAAAGTCATAAAGGTTTGGAACGATATGAGGGTGAATAAATAATAACAGAATTATCTATTAGTCGATGCTCTGTTCCATGTAAGTTATATTATTCAAACCTACAGCGTCAAGATGTAAATATACAAAACATCGCTTTTAAATATCATCCTGGATGTTTTTCACTCTGGACGTACACTCACTATCGCTCACATCTCTCATTTTCTCTGCCTGCTCTCCCATTCTCCACATCAATACTTTTCTGTCTGCTACTATCATCCCCCCATCCCTGGAGAAGACAGAGGGGTAGAGTGTATGTTTGTATCTGCGTGTGTGTGTATGTGTGTTGTGGGGTCCCAGTAGAGTAGCTCTCAGTGCCTAATGGAGGACGGCATGTAACCAGACACTAGAGCAGAGAGCACACGCCATCTCTCATCTGTGTATTTGTGTGTGTGTGTATGTGCTTGCATGCATTTGCTTTGTGTTGTCAAGCAGTATTTCACAGTTTGACTGCAGAAGTGGATTAAATCTGTGTTTAAACCTGTGCTTTAACCTTTCACCCATCATAACACAAATGCTAATTTTTATTTTAGACTGCTACTGTTTGCACTCTCTCTCTGACACTTTTTCTCTAACTGGTTTTGCCACACTACCTGAACAGACTATATTCCTATTTCAGGACACAGCCCAGTAAGGTGGGAGGGGGATAAAATAGGAAATTGTTATTTTTTTTGTTTCATTTGTCCACCAAACTGAGAGCTGAGAAGGTGTGTGCGTGTCTGCATATCAGTGTGTGTATGTCAGATGATGTCATGCTGCCTTTGTAATAGTGTGTCTATCTATAAATGTGTGAGAGAGCTGTGATCAGAGACCAGTTTTTTTTTTATAACTATTTATTTTTATCGTTTTTTTTTTATGTGCACTTGTCTTGGTGATACCATTCAAATGCATCTGTGGTTCAGTGTTAGAAGGAAGTTATAACTTTGTTCTGTTTTTATATGTGCAGGTGCAGTTACAAGTGCATCCAAACCTGTCGGCTAAAGAAGATGCGCTCCAGCACATTGAGGCACTCATACTACAGCTCCTGAACAAGCTGTGTGTTACACAGCCCAGAACAATAGCTGATGTCGAGGTACACATACAGACATATCAGTGATAGGCGGTGTTATGGTTTACTATATAGTGTACTATAAGGAGAAATGTGTCAACTGGCAGCAATTGTGCTATACAGATGGTGCTATTGGTGGGGATGACTGCTTTACGTTATTTACAGTGGCAGTGATAAAGATACTTGGAGCAATGTAAAAAATATCGAGTGGTACGTGTCCTAAACAATTAAGACTAAAGCGTGCAATTTGCATAATTTTCAATTGAGGTGCCTGATGTATGTCTTCAAATGAGGCTCATCCATTCAAAATCTTCGAGTTTTAATTCTGACCTGTGCTGGCAAAATTAGTCGGAATGCGCACGGGATAATTTTGAGCTACATGCAAAAAATAAGTGAAAAATGTCAAATTTGAGGTTTTCACAAAAATGAGTTCATTAAGCCCTCGTCTAGCAATCCCAATGCTCCAAATAGCAATTAAACATCTAAAAGTATCTTTATTTGTACGTTTTCTGAGAGGAGTACCTTTTCTCCGCTCGCTTCTCACGCTGACTGTTATCTGAAGTGTGTACATAAAGGCGCTTCCGACTGCACGCGATCCCGATACACATATACACAGATTTACAGTAGGCTAAATATATTTTAAGTATTCACGCAAACATAATCTGTTATATCTTAAGTGAACGTTTGGGGAAAAATATCGGGTGGCTAACATTATATTAGATCCGTGGATTACACTATGTCTTAAAGGGTTAGTTCACCGCAAAATGAAAATTATGCTGTGTTTTACTCACCCTCGAAGCATCCTAGGTGTATATGACTTTCTTCTTTCAGACGAATCCAGTCGGAGTTATATTAAAAATTGTCTTTGATCTTTCAAGCTCTATCGTTGTACTCAGCGGGTGTTGCATTCCTTCGGTTCAAAAGACGTGAAATAAAAAGCACCCTTCCACAAAAAAAAGTGTCTCACACAGCTCCGGGGGTGAACAAAGGCCTCCTGTAGCGAATCGATGCGTTTTTGTAAGAAAAATATCCATATTCAAAACATAATAATCACTTTAATCTAGCTTGCGCCAACAGTCCTACATGGAAGCAGTTCCGGGGGAATGACGTATGGGGTCAGCGCTGCGCATGCGCCTGTGCATTTCGTGAAAACCAACGTTTGTTTACAGGATCAAAAGAAGCAAAGTTTCCTTACTTTAGCAAAGGAAAACAAGTCTCCTCTTGGCTTATATCGAAATCCTCCGACATTCTTCTTTACAGCATAATTTTCATTTTGCGGTGAACTAACCCTTTAATATAGGCTGTCTGTTGCATTAATGTTAATCAAACAATAATAAAAAAGAGGGAATCACTTTCTGCTCTTGATTGAACT